CCACCGGGTCCAGGACACGAACCGCGGTTGACTACATGGGAGTCCAGCGACATAGCCATTACGCTAACTGCTGGTTCCCCCTCCATAAGTATTTTAAAAAGAATTATTTTTATTAGTAGTATTATTATTATTACTATCATCATTTTTCTTTTTTAGAGAGGTTTTTGCTATAAGACACATGTACTTGCCAGAAAGGCAGAGAGAGACATAGAGACAGAAAGCGAGAAATCACCCCCCAGGGGGGATGGTCACACCGCAATCCTTTCTCCTCCATTCTCCTCTCGGGATCTTGGGCACGCATGCACACGCACCTGGCGTGAGTTTTAAGCCACCGGGTCCGGGACTCTAACCACGGTCGACTACATGGGAGTCCAGCAACATAGCCATTACGCTAACTGCTGGTCCCAACCAAGTCCGTGATTCGAACTGTAGTCAGTCATGTCAACTCTGGCTCCCATAACCACTGGGCTACAGGGCCAACGTTCATTCCAATTCCAGTTTGCTTGCCGGGGCTGTTTGGTGAATTAGGGAGCGTCCCGTGCCTCGGTTTCCCCATTGCTCTCAGGCAAAGCTCTGACCGTTGTAGGGGGGATTAAATGAATCTGTATGTGTTAATACTTCCCAGGCCTGGGACCAGCAGTTAGCGTAATGGCTATGTCTCTGGACTCCCACGTGGTTGACCACGGTTCGAGTCCTGGACCCAGTGGCTGAAACTCATGCCGGACGCGTGTGCGTGCGTGCCCAAGATCCCGAGAGGAGAACGGAGGAGAAGGGATTGCGGCGTGGCCATCCCCCCTGGGGGGTGATTTCTCGCTTTCTATCTCTCTGTCTCTCTCTGTTTATCTCGCGAGCGCACGTGCCCTATAGCAAAAAACCTCTCCAAAAAAAAAAAAAAAATAGTTCCCAGGCCTGACACACAGTAGGTGCCTAGTCCAGGTTAGTGCTGTGACCTGGAGGATACCCTTGCGGGAGGGGCCTGCCAGGCCCTGAGTGTGACCCTCCCTACCTCCAGGACCTTTGCCCCGCTCTGGGAGGTGTTCCGTGTGTCCTCGGACAAGCTGGCTCTCTGTCACCTGGAGCTGACACGGAAGCTGCAGGACCTCATCAAAGATGTACTCCGCTATGGGGAAGAGCAGCTGAAGACGCACAAGAAGGTGAGTGTTCGGGTCCCTACCCAGCCCGCTCTGGGGGGGATGCTGGTGGCTTCCAGGATCCCAGGGATCCTGGGCCTTCACACCCCCAGCCCTGACTGCGTACCTCGGACAATTCCATAAATCCCACAGTGTCCATTCCAGAATCTCAGACTCTCAAAATTCTAGAAGGGGGACCAGCAGATGGCATTGGGGTTAAGATGCTGGACTTCACCACATAGCCTACCACGGTTCAAGTCCCAGACCTGGTGGTTTAAAAATCACACCAGGCATAGGTGCATGCGTGACCAGAACCCTGGGAGGAGACTGGGGGAAAAGGGATTGTGGTATGGCCATCCTCCCACGGGAGTGATTTTTCATTTTCTCTCTCACTGTCTCTGTCTCTCTCTCTCTCTCTCTCCAGTGAACACACATGCCCCAAAGCAAAAAGCTCTACAAAAAAAAAAAATTCTAAAACAGGGGCCAGTAGGTGGCGTGGTGGTTAAGGCACTGGATCCCACATAGCCGGCTGCATGGTTCAAGTCCTGAACCCAGAAGCTTGAAAAACACGCTGGGTGCGTACATGCCCAAAATTGCAAGAGAAGAATAGAGGAGGGATTGTGGCATGGCCATCCCCCCACTGGGGGTGATTTCTTACTTTCCTTCTCTCTGTATTTCTTGAGTGAGCACACTTACCCTATAACAAAACTAAACTTATTTAACTTTATTTATTTTTTTATCCATTTGAATTTGGCCAGAGAGGGATAGAAAGAGAGAGAGAGAGGGAAAGTGAGAAAGCAAGCCACCAGGTCCAGGACTTGAACTGTGGTCGGCCATGTGGGAGTCTAGCACCCTTAACCACCATGCCACCTGCTGGCCCCTTTATGTATTACTATTATTATTATTATTATTATTATTATTATTATTATTTTTTTTTTTGAGATCTCGAGCACACACCCAGCGTGAGTTTAAGCCACCGGGTCTGGGACTCAAACCACAGTAAACTACTTGGGAGTCCAGCGTCGTAGCCATTACGCCAACTGCTGGTCCACATTTCTTGTTATTACGATTATTTTTAAAGTTTGACCAGAGAGAGAGACAGAGAGAAAAGGAAAGAGAGAAAGCAAGCCACCAGGTCTGGGACTTGAACTGTGGTTAGCCATGTGGGAATCCAGCACCCTTAACCACCACACCACCTGCTGGCCCCCTAAAATAATTCTTAACACAATAAACAAAATGGAATGTTTGAAATGAATACAATACTACAAAAATCACAGTTCGGGCAGCCAGGAATTTCAGTCTACGCGTGGGAGGCGCCGGGCACCCACACTCCGCCCTCTTCCTCTCTCTGCAGTGCAAAGATGAGGTGGTGGGTACCCTGGACGCCGTGCAGGTCCTCACAGGGGTCAGCCAGCTCCTGCCCAAATCCCGGGAGAACTACCTGAACCGAACGGCTGCATGGACCAGGAGCGGCTGCGCAGGGAGAGCAGCAGCCAGAAGGATATTGACAAGGTCAGTGCGCGATTTCCCTGCGCGGTGTCCCTGCAGGGTCCGAGTGGCGTGCCTTGGGGAGCAGGCAATGCTGGATCAGAAACAGGCGGCAGGTCCCACAGCGCTGATGGTTGAACTTGGTCACCCTGGGTACCCGAGGACTCTACCTAGCAGGTAGTGGCGCTGGAGCGGAGCCCCTGGAGTGTCCCCTCTTAAACCCGTCTCCTCCCTGTGACTCTTAGGCAGAGACCAAAACTAAGAAGGCGGCGGAGAGCCTGCGGCGATCCGTGGAGAAGTACAACTCCGCGCGGGCGGACTTCGAGCAGAAAATGCTGGATTCCGCTCTGGTAAGAACCAATAGGTGGTGTAATGGCTGCGTCGCTGGACTCCCATGTAGTCGACTGCTGTTTGAGTCCCAGACCCGGTGGCTTAAACTCACACCAGGCCCGTGTGCGTGCGTGCCCAAGATCCCGAGAGGAGAATGGAGGAGAAGGGATTGCAGCGTGGCCATCCTCCCCAGGGGGTGATTTCTCGCTTTCTGTCTCTCTGTCTGTCTGTCGAGAGCACGCACCCTATAGCAAAAACCTCTCCAAAAAAAAAAAAGAAAAAGAAAAAATGAAACAAGGGATGTGTACGTGTTTGCCCAAAATCCCAAGAAGGGGGACCAGCAGATGGTGTAATGGTTACATCACTGGACTTCCACTCAACTGCTATTCAAGTCCTGTGCCGAACAGCTTAAAACTCATGCTGGGGGACCAGCAGTTGGCGTAAGGGCTATGTTGCTGGACTCTCATGTAGTCGGCCGCATTTCCAGTCCTGGACCCGGTGGCTTAAACTCACACTGGGCACATGTGCATGCGTGCCCAAGATCCCAAGAGGAGAATGGAGGAGAAGAGATTGTGGCATGGCCATCCCTCCTGAGGGGTGATTTCTCACTTTCTCTCTGTTTCTTTCTGTGTCTCTGCCGTCCACACACTCTTTATAGCAAAAATCTCTCTCTCAAAACGAAAAGAAAGAAATAGCCATTCAAACTGATAAGGAAATTTATAGGCCCAAGCAACATAAATTTTTTGCAACAGGGGAAGCTTCAGGCATGGCCAGATCTAGGTATTCGCTCAAACGGTGTTGGCAGGAAGTTGTGCCTCTTCACTTCTCAAAACTCAAGTTCTCCCTGAGGACTTCATTCCCAGGCAGACATGCCTGTGTGTGGGTAGATGGGTGGCTGTGCTGGCACCTGCAGCAAAGTGGCCACCACCGGCCCCACTTACCCGTCATCAACTCATTAGCTCAGGAATGAGTCTCTTTTCCTGTAATTCCATGTAAAGTCCTAGGGCAGACTCTCATTGGCTCTTGCCCAAATCAATCACTGAGACATCAGGCATTCGAGCGTTCTGATTGGTCAGGCTAGTATACATCCCTTTGCTCTTCCCCTGTGCCCCTCCCTTTCTGTCTCAGCGCTTCCAAGCCATGGAGGAGACCCACTTGCGGCACATGAAGGCGTTGCTGGGCTCCTATGCCCATTCGGTGGAGGACACCCATGTCCAGATCGGCCAGGTGAGTCAGGCTGGGTGTGGGGAGTGAAGGAAGGGCTAGTGCAGGGTAAGAAGGACGCCACCAAATGCTCACCCCGTCCCCCCAACCCCCAGGTGCACGAGGAGTTTAAGCAGAACATAGAGAACGTCAGCGTGGAAATGCTGATCCGGAAGTTTGCCGAGAGCAAAGGCACCGGCCAAGAGAAACCAAGTGAGTCGGGGCAGCCGCGGGAGGCGGGCTCTGGGACCCAGGAGCCGCCGGAGGCTAAACCTCCTTAGGCCTCGATTTCATCGGGAAAATGGGCCGATAAGTGCAACTGTCCAGGCCCCTTAGAGAACAGGATTTGATGCTCCATTGCATCTTGTAGACCTTTTAGAACCAGATCCCAGGGACCAGCAGTTGACGTAATGGCTATGTCGCTGGACTCCCATGTAGCTGGCCGTGGTTCGAGTCCCGGACCTGGTAGCTTAAACTCACGCTGGGCACGTGTGCGTGCGTGCCCAAGATCCCGAGAGGAGAATGGAGGAGAAGGGATTGTGGCGTGGCCAATCCCCCCTGCAGGGTGATTTCTCACTTTTGGTCTCTCTGTCTTTCCCTGTCTTTCTGGCAAGCGCATGTGCCCTATAGCAAAAATCTCTCAAAAAAAGAGAACCAGATCCCAGAAAGTTCTTGCATGTGGGATTCAGCTGTTCAGACCTCACCTCAAGGACTCAAGAGAGCCATTGAAGGTTATTGAGCAAAAAGCCTATTTGAAAATGCCCACTTGGGTGCCAGCAGGTGGCATGGTGGTTAAGGGCGCTGGATTCCTACATGGTCGACTGCGGTTCAAGTCCCGGACCTGGCAGTTTTTCTCTCTTTCTCTCTGTCCCTCTCTGATCAAATTAAAATAAATAAACAAAATAAAGTTAAATAAAATAGTTTTTTAGAATTATTTTATTTAACTTTTTTTTTACTTATTTATTTCATTGTTTTCGTTTTGATTGGAAGGAGACAGAGCAAGAGAGAGAGAAAGCGAGAAAGCAAGTCACCAGGTCCGAGTTTGGAACTATGGTCGGCCACGTGGAAGTCTAGCACCCTTAACCACCACGCCATCTACTGGCCCCTAAATAAAATAACTTAATTTTTTTTCTTTTTCTTTTTTTTGGAGAGGTTTTTGCTATGGGGTGAGTGCACTTGCCAGAGAGACAGAAAGCAAGAAATCATCCCCCTAGGGGGGATGGCCATGCCGCAATCCTTTCTCCATTCTCCTCTCGGGATCCTGGGCACACATGCCCACGCGCCTGGCGTGAGTTTTAAGGCATCGGGTCTAGGACTCGCACCACAGTCGACTACATGGGAATCCAGTGACATAGCCATTACGCTAACTGCTGGTCCCAATAAATAATTCTTTAAAAAAAAAAGATTTACTTATTTCTATTTGTTACTATTTTTGTGGTTGGCCATGGGGGAATCCAGTGCCTTTAGTCACCATGCCACCTGTTAGTCCTGGGTTTATTTGTTCATCACATACTGTGTGATCTTACGCCTGTGTCTCGACTTCTCTGAACCTCCTTTTTTAATCTGTGAAATGGAGATGATAATCCCCACCCTATGTTGTAACTGTCAGTAATTTGGTGCGAGTTAAGGGCATGGCATGTACCTGGCACAAAGAAAACACTTACTAAATGCCAATTTGCAGTCTGTGTCCCCAAGTGTGGCCAACCAGCAAGGCCTATCCTTTCTCCCTTCCTGTCTCTGTGGTTTAATCCCCGCTGTTGCCTTTCATTGGCTCCAGATCTGTCATGCCCTTCTCCTCCTTAGATACCCTCCTTAGCTCCCTATTGCCGTTGGGAGAGTCGCAGCTCCTCACCCTGGCACTTAAGGCCCAGCCCACTGTGTAGATCCATGTTTTAGCTACCAAGCCAATCAAAGTCCCAGAAATGCTGGAGGAGTCTAACAGGAGCTCAAGGGGTACCCCCTCTACCTTTCACAAGGTGGCACTTCCCAGCTGGGACCAGAACCAGCCCCTCTGTCCCATCCCACTCCTGCCTGTCCATGGGGCTGGTTCACCATCTCGGCTGCTGCCTGGCCTGACTGCCCTGGAGCTCGGACCAGGTGCGGCCATGTGGCCCAGGGTGTCCCGATGCCCCTCCCAGGCCTGGTCCCTGCCCTCACCGAGTGTCTCCGTCTCTGTCCCAGGCCCTTTGGACTTTGAGGCGTACAGCGCGGCTGTCCTACAGGAAGGCAAGTACGTCTGGGCCTGGGTGCCCAGGAGGGACCATAGGGGCGAGGGAGGCAGGTCTGAGCCCAGTAGGGAATGCTTGCAGGGCTCAGCTGCCTCCCCATGCCGTCTGTCCTCAGCCATGAAACGTTTGCGGGGAGCTAAGGCCTTTCGCCTTCCCGGACTCAGCCGGCGGGAGCGGGAGCCACGTGCAGCTGTGTGAGGATGCGCACCTGCGGGTCCCAGGCTAGCGGGGATCCCAGGCCTGGCCCTGGATAGCCTGAAGCCCCGCCCCCTGCCCAGGCCAGCCCAGAGCCCCGCCCCCAGCCCAGGACTTGCCCGGAGCTCCGCCCCCTGCCCAGAATAGCCCAGAGTTCTGTCCCAAGGTCCAGCAGTTGCCTGGAGTCCCACCTCCTACCCAGGATAGATGGGAGCCCTGCCACTGGCCCCAGATAGCCCGGGGCCCCGCCCCCTGTCCAGGATAGCCCGGAGCTCCGCCCCCTGCCTAGAATAGCCCGGAGCTCCGCCCCCAGGTCCAGGAGTTGCCTAGGAGCCCCGCCCCCAGCCTAGGATAGCCCTGTATCCCAGCCTCTCACCCAGGATAGCCCTGACCCCAGCCCCCAACCCAGGATAGCCCGGGAGCCCTGTCCTTCCTGACTGTAAAGTCCCCTCTTTAGGGAAGCCCTGGAATATTCTTGCCCTGTACTTAGACGACGCCAGGGTTGTTCACTCCCGGCTATTCCAGGAGGAGTACCTCTGCTCCAGCAAGCTCATTGTCGCTGCCCACACCATTCTGAATTTTTTCAGAAGAATTATTTATTTATTTTTATTAATTCATTTTATTTTAATTTGACCAGAGAGAAAGAGAGAAAATGAGAAAGCACGCCACTAGGTCAGGGACTCGAATCGGGGTTGGCTATGTGGGAGTGTCCAGCGCCTTAACCACCACACCACCTACTAGTTGCTTGGATTGTTTTTGTTTGTAGTTTACTTATTGACTTCTTCTCTCAGTAAGAGACAGAGAGATAGAGACAACACCCCTAACAAGGTCTCTATGCCTTGACACACCCCCAGCCTCAGCCTGCCCTGTGTGCTCAGGGAGGTCTCTGGACCTGAACCCGCAACCTTCCCATGTGGATCAACCACACAGAACATCCTGTTCCACCAGCCCTGCAGACCAGCTCCAGGGTCCCTCCCTTCTTAGCCACCAGAGAGCATCCCCCGCCCAGCTAACTCCAGACTCCTCCCATCCCTGAGCAAGCCCCAGGGTCCCACCACCTCCAGGGACTAGCTCAGGACAATGCCACAGCCCAGGGGACCCCGTGTTCTAAGTCCCGTGTTGGGGGCTGAGAACGGGGCTCAGATGAGGTGGGGAAACCGAAACCAACATTTTTTCCTCCAACCCCAGCGACGTCCTGGAGCCCGATTCAGGGGTGAGTGTTGGGGAGAAGCCAGATCAGGCTGCAAATGGGAAGGGTTCGATCCCACTCTTGGCCCCCAAAGTCCAGAGCTCAATGGAAAGCAAAGAACTCAAGGGGTGGACTGGGTTCGAATCCCACCTCAGCTGCAAAACTCCCGTGGACCACGTGGGGGCAGCGCTTGCCTCACCAAGCCTTAGTTTACCCTGGACCCTGAGCACACACCAGGGAAAGTTATTGCCATCAGGGTCCTTTTTAGGTCTGAGTCAGAGTCTGAAGGCGGGGAATGGGGGTGGTAGGGTGAGGTAGAAGGGGAACCTCACTCAGTTAGGGGTGCCTGACTCACCGCTCGCCCCCTTCTTCCCCTGCCAGACGTGTCCAGAAGTGGATGAAGAAGGTTTCACTGTCCGACCTGACGTGACCCAGAACAATATCCTTTTGGCGCCCCCTCCAGGCAGTTGTTGGTATAGCAACGACAAAGCTCTGTCCGCGGTGATCAGCCCGTTAGCGACCTTTTCTGTGTACACAGAGCTGATCCGGATTAAAACCACTGCCCTGTGAGGTCAGGATAGGGCTCGAGAGACAGAGGGAGTTGGGTTACCCCAGAGGGAGAACCAGGACAGTTTCCTGGAGGAAGCCCTCC